TTATCTCTCCCTTGACATGCAATGGATAATGAACAGCCAGATAGCACATCTCGTACTCTTTGTCTGTTTTTTTTAAATGATACTCCGTAGTACTATGAGACTATCAAAACAAAATTGATCCATTCATTTCAAACTAATAATTAGAAAACAAATAATGATGCAAATTGATTGAAATGACATATCGGTGGACTCTTCAATATAATACGGAGTACATTACTACTAATAACTCATGTATATATTTATGAGTTTTAGAGGAATTTTAATTTGGTTTTCAAGACAATTATTTTGAGGTAAATAATAAAGTTTAAAAACAGACGAACTAAAATTGTTTGAGAAATGGACTGCTTGTTGAATATTGTTAAATCCAAGACAATTGTTCAATTTTACTAAACAATATAATCAACATTTTAACAAGGTTTTTCATTAAAACAATATTTCAACGAAAAACTATGAACACAAATTTGGTACTTTAAGGACCCGTGGTTATCGAGTTGCACATCTCTGATTGTTAAGATGAGCCCCTTAACAATTGGTATGACAGTAACTTGAGCCAAACGGTTATTATGTTTGTTTCTGTAAATTGCCGGGAATAACCCCCTATAACGGCACTGATGATTGATTTTAACCTCAAATGATATGATGATGTAGAAATTAATACGTAGTATGAAGTAAATATGTGAGCTAAATTACTTCTCTTTTTAAAAGTCAGAATAGAGTATCTCACTTTATTTTCTCCTTGTTATGAAATATGGAGTATATTTTAAATAAAAATTTAAAGTGCTTATTTTTAACGTGAAAGTTTTGCACAATTAAATGTACTATTAATTTTAGTACAATTTATATTACGATATTGAACTAATATATGTTCATTTTTATCTTTTTAAAGATATGGAGTTAACTGAAATTTCTCCAAATGGCTTTGAACAATGTTTAATAGACAGTGTCACAACGCACACCATTTTGAGACATAGAGATTATTTTTCTCATATGACATTAGTTGATGCTAATGTCAATACAATCTCAGGTGTTGCTAAACTCATTGAAGGTTCTGGAATAGCCTGTGTAATTCTCCCAAAATGGACAAAATTAATAATTAAAGACGCTTTATACTCCAGTAAATCACGTAGAAATCATTTGAGTTTCAAAGATATGCGTCTATATGGTTTTCACATTGAAACCATGTCTGAAAATCAAAAGAAATATTTATGTCTAACGACAAATAGATCTGGCAATAAATACATTTCAGAAAAAATGCCAGCATATTCCTCTGGACTATATTATATATATATCAGTCCAATTGAGATAAATGTGGTATCTAAAATTAATGACCACAATTCCTTTATCAGCACTATAATGCACAAAATTATTCAAAATTCACTTGGACATTCATTAAATAATGTCAAAATTCCACAATCAAGTGATTTCTCATGCACTGCCTATTCTCTTGGCAAATTAATTATCAGGCCATCTTTATACAAAATTAGAGTTGAATCTTCTGCATTTTTAGAAAGAATTCAAGGAGATATTTGTGGGCCAATTGCCCCTCCGTGTGGACCCTTTCGAGACTTTATGGTGCTCATTGATGCATCAACACGTTGGTCACACGTCAGTCTTTTATCGATTAGAAATTTTGCATTTGCAAATCTCCTTGCTCAAATTATTCGTTTGAGATCAAAATTTCCGGATTATTCAATAAAGAAAATCCGACTTGATAATGCAGGGGAATTTACATTCCAATCTTTTAATGACTATTGCATGTCAATTGGGATTGATGTGGAACATCCAGTTCCACATGTGTATACACAAAATGGTCTTGCTGAATCCTTAATTAAGCGATTACAATTAATTTCTAGACCATTATTGATGAAATCCAGATTACCATCATCTGCATGGGGATATGCTATCATGCATGCTGCAAATTTAATTCGGCTCAGGCCAACTGCATATCATAAATTTTCCCCATTGCAATTAATATCTGGTAAAGAACCAAATATATCACACATCAAAATATTTGGTTGTTCGTGTATGTGCCAATTGCTCCACCTTATTGTACTAAAATGGGTTCTCAAAGAAGGTTGGGAATTTATTTTGGTTTTAAATCTCCCTCAATTATTAATTATCTAGAACCTATGACAGGTGACTTATTCACTGCACGGTTCGATGACTGTCATTTTGATGAAACGGTATTCCCAGCCTTAGGGGGAGATAATAAAGAAATTGACCCACGTACGAAAGATATTACTTGGAATGCAACAAATTTATCTTTTCTTGAGTCTCGCACAAATGCTTGTGAACAAGAAATTCAAAAGATCATTCATTTACAAAGTGTTGCAAACCAATTGCCTGATGCTTTCACAGACTCAAAGAAAGTGACAAAGTCACATATTCCAGCTATGAATACTCCTTCTCGAATAGAAATTCCTGCGGAGATTAGCGAAAGAACTCTTGCTAATGAATCTATGATACGTAAAAAATGTGGTAGACCGCTTGGTTCAAAAGATTTGAAACCAAGAAAATTTAAAAACCAAGACGTAGTTTGTGATGCCAAAGAAGTTCAAACTTCTCAGGAAGAAAATGAACATTTTTAAAATATCTGCTTTGAAGATAACATCAATAATAATGATACCTCAAAAGAAGATCCAATCACCTTTGAAGAGTATATGTTGATGATTTGAATATAATCGGAACTCCCAATCGGAACTCATGAAAGAATTTGAAATGAAAGACCTTGGGAGAACAAAATTTTGTCTCACCATTCAAATTGAACATTTGAGTAATGGTATTTGTATCCACCAATCAAATTATACCGAGAAACTTTTGAAGCGGTTTTACATGGAAAAAGCTCACTCACTCAATTCTCCGATGGTGGTTCCATCTATCAATGTACATGATGATCCTTTTCGACCTTGTGAAGATGATGAAGAAATCATTGGTCCCGAAATACCATATTTGAGTGTTATTAGAGCGTTAATGTATTTGGCTAATAATACCCGACCAGATATTGCTTTTTATGTAAATTTATTAGCCAGGTACAGTTTTTCCCCGACAAGAAGACATTGGAATGGCGTCAAACATATATTCTGCTATCTTAATGGTACAATCGATTTTGGATTGTATTTCAAGAATTGTGCAAATGCCACTTTAATTGGCTATGCCGATGCAGGATACGTGTCTGATCCACAAAAGGCAAAATCACAAACAGGATATGTATTCACCTACGGTGATACTGCTATCTCATGGAGATCAATGAAGCAAACATTAACTACCACATCATCAGATCATGCAGAATTAATTGCTCTTTATGAAGCAGGTCGAGAATGTGTCTGGTTGAGATCAATGATCCAACACATACAAAATGAATGCGGTATAAAAACTTTTACTGGTAATCCTACTGTGATTTATGAAGATAGCACAACATCTATAGCTCAGATCAAAGAAGGTTACATCAAAGCGGATAGAACAAAGCATATAGCACCAAAACTTTTCTCCACACATGATCTTGAGAAAGAAGGAACATTTGATGTCAAACAAATCAAGTCCTGTGACAACCCTGCTGATTTATTCACAAAGTCATTGGCACCGAAGAAATTTGAAGAACTGGTCCACAAAATTGGAATGTGTCGTCTTCATGATATATGTTAAATTGAGGGGGGGGGGAGGGTGATATAATGCACTGCACTCTTTTTCCCTTCGTCGGGTTTTTATCCCACTTGGTTTTTCCTGACAAATGTTTTTAACGAGACAGTACATTATAATACTATGATACTAATACCCCAGAATAATTAGAAGATGACCATTCAAGGGGGAGTGTTGAAATAAAGTTGAATTAGTCATTTTCTAACTATTCATGATTAGGAACACATTATCATCATTGTTAATATAAATAAGAAATCATAAGTATGATTCTAGATGATAATTGTGTGGTTCACAATTATCCTCTAATCATTATAAGCTTAGCTTTTCCCCTATAAATAGGAGACTTCTCCATTCAAAATTGGAATGTGTCGTCTTCGTGATATATGTTAAATTGAGGGGGAGTAATATAATGCACTACACTCTTTTTCCCTTCGTCGGGTTTTTATCCCACTGGGTTTTTCCTGACAAAGGTTTTTAACGAGATAGTACATTATAATACTGTGATACTAATACCCCAGAATAATTAGAAGATGACCATTCAAGGGGGAGTGTTGAAATAAAGTTGAATTAGTCATCTTCTAACTATTCATGATTAGGAACACATTATCATCATTGTTAATATAAATAAGAAATCATAATTATGATTTCTAGATGGTAATTGTATGGCTCACAATTAGCCCCTAATCTAGACAAGATTATATTTTCCCCTATAAATAGGAGTATTCTCCTTCATTGTAAAGACACCATTAGAACATATCTAATACACCTCTATGACTAAGTGTTCATACTATATTTTCTCCCCCTGATCTTATGCTTATTTCCTTCCATTTTATAACACTTCGAGTGTAATTTGAGAAATAATTTTAATGGGTACGTATGTATTATAATGCAGTTAGTATTAATAACTGTGATGTTATAAATGTACTCCCTCCATCCCTATTAATGTTCGCAGTTTGGTTTCACACAAATTAAGAAAATAAATTTGACTTTACTGTGGAGTGCACTGTTTGGCACTGTTTGACACTGTTTTGCACTGTTTTGTTTTATACAATGGAAGTGTGAACTTAAATAAGGGACATCCCAAAAAGAAAAGTGAGAACTTTAATACGGACCGGAGGGAGTATTATTTTTAATATTTAATGATTAATTTGGCATTTAAAATTATTAATTGTTTCCTAAAATGGAAATGGAAATGGAAAACATTATATGAGATGTCCAAAAAAGGAAAGTGGAACCTTCTAATGAGACGAAGAGTATGTTTTTAATTTTATTTGCACAGGTGAAAATCTAGTCTAGTTTCAATAAATTGAAGTTGAATTTCAGAAATTTGAATGGATTCACGGTTGAACCACCCATTTGGCCAGGGTTTATCAGAAACGAATGGCTGGCAGGGGAATGAAGATGTTGGGGAACCAGTAAAAGAAAAGCTCTTGTAATAAATAAATATGGCGCCCAAGAAGGAGATGTGCCCTTTAGCATAAAGATTTAAGGAAAAAGAGTCGAAATGGAAGCACTGCTACCATCATGTACCGCGATGAGATCCTCGCAGCGTTGTCTTCCTGTTGTGCCCACAGAAACGTACAGAAGAAGAAAAGCAAGTGGTTGGAGCTGTGAAAGTCAGTTATCAACTGATCATCAGGTGCCATTAGAAATGCAGGCTTGGACTTATGCAGAGTATGGAAGCGTCGATGTTTTGAAGCTGGAATCAGATGTGAGAGTGCCGGAGATGAAGGAGGATCAGGTGCTCGTCAAAGTGGCTGCTGCTGCTCTCAATCCGGTTGATTTCAAACGCAGGCTGGGCAAGTTCAAAGCCACTGATTCCCCTCTACCCGTAATACTACACACCCCACTCTCATCAGATTGTGAATTTGATACGAAATAATTTACTTCCGATCTTACCACTATTGTGAATTGTGACCACATTTGGTAGGTTACTACAAGTATATTTTTTTTGCCTATCGGCGGTCCTTCAGTCGAAATTTCTGCACCTTACACGCAAAATCAAGCACCCTATAATCTAGCCTGAAGGACCGCGGACAGGCAAGTAACACGAGTATGCATAAGAAGTCAAAGACACAGATGTATTATGAGATTGGTGTAACGCTAGTAGAACAATTGAACAAACACTGAAATTTGTATTCTTTTGATGCATAATACTCCATAATTATTTGTCAATTCGTCTCATATTTCAATGAGAAAAAAACTACTCCATATAATACGGAGTAGTAAATATCAGAATAACAAGAATAATATTAACTGCAAATGTGTAATTTGGTCGGAATCTGGAACGTTAAAGCAAGCAGCATTTTTTTTTCTTAGACTGTGCCTGGGTATGATGTTGCTGGAGTAGTAGTAGGAGTTGGTAGTCAAGTAAAAGGCCTAAAAACAGGTGATGAGGTTTATGGGAACATAAACGAGAAAGCATTGGAAGGGCTGAAGCAGTTTGGTTCCTTAGGTCAGTACACTGCAGTTGAGGAGAAGCTGTTGGCTTTGAAGCCGAAGAACCTGTCTTTTCCACAAGCTGCTTCTCTTCCTCTTGCAATAGAGACTGCTTATGAAGGTCTTGAAAGGGTCGGGTTCTCCGCCAGGAAATCTTTACTTGTTTTGGGCGGTGCAGGAGGCGTTGGATCTCTTGTGATTCAGGTATATAACATAACAGTATTTACAACAGTGTATTACTAAGATTAAAATGCTAGAGGATTTACGATGGAATCTCAATTTTTAGTAATGCTAGTTATATTGTGACGGTCCAGGCATTGCTTTGTTTGTATGATTGTGCAGCTTGCCAAGAATGTATTTGGTGCTTCAAAAGTAGCGGCAACATCAAGCACCGGAAAATTGGAGTTGTTGAAAAACTTAGGTGCTGATTTGTCTATTGACTACACAAAGCAGAACTTTGAAGAGTTACCATACAAGTTTGATGTCATCTATGATACAGTTGGTATGTTCTTTTCACTAAGACTTTGGGTTCTATCTTAAAAGGTGAGCCTGCAAGAAATATTATGTTTGCATGAATTTGAAAATGCAGGGCAGGGAGAACGGGCAGTTAATGCGGTGAAGGAAGGAGGAAGCATAGTGGTACTAACCGGTGCAGTCAAACCTCCCGGATTCAGGTTTGTAGTTACTTCAAAGGGGGAAGTGCTGAAAAAACTAGCACCATTCCTTGAAAGTGGGAAGGTGAAGCCGGTAATTGACCCCAAAGGTCCCTTTGGATTTGACCAGGTTGTGGATGCATTTTCGCACCTCCAAACTGGGCATGCTGCAGGGAAAGTTGTCATACATCCCATTCCATAAGTATATATTAATCCGTACTACATTAGTCTCAAGTCACTCTCAACAAAGTAAACTATGACTATATACTAATTCATATGTTGTTAGGGGAGCTCGAGTATGTTATTGCCAATTGGTAGTGGACACCACTGTAGTCATGGTTTTTGAGTGGAAATGAGACCGCGACTAGTCAGCTTGATTCCAATTACACTGGGGGATTAATGAGGTCTAGCTTGGTCCTTGACGGCTATTCCATTTGTTTTGTATTGCAATGGCCAAATGGCTTTGAGGGCATGCCAACAACATCCCCATTGGAGAGTAGTGAGGTATTTTTTTTTGCATTGGTAACAAAGAAAATCGTATGTCCGAATCATTATTGTACAATGTACATAGTGTTTTACACATATTTAGCTTTTGTTTTTTTAATTCAATTTTCCAGATTAGAACCTTTGGAAACGCTTTCCATCATTTGCAATGGAGCCAAAGATTCATTATTTTTTGGCTTGAGATTATGATGGAATAAAGCAAAATGGCTCACTAAACTGTCTGCGCTTTTTTGTTATGAAGCAGCAGTCAGTCCATGCAATTTTGGACGAGATTTTCACTATGGGTTATCCGGAAACAGTCTCTCTGTGCTTTAGTACAGGGGTAAGACTGCGTACATCCGATCCCCCCTTACCCCACCGTAGGTGGGAGGAGCCTTTGCGGCACTGGGGTAAATGAAAATGAAAATGAAAATGAGAACCTTTGGAAACGGGACATTACCCAGAACCAATCATAATAGTGAACAAGTAGCAAACTTCCCCTCCACCTGTTTCAGCTAAGGCTCCCTGTCTTCTAAGTCCGGGATGACCAGTCCAGAGCTATAATGGATTGTATTCACCCATACTATTTGCCTATAAGACTATTATCGTACAATAGCTACTCACTCTAGCAAGAACGGCACCTCTGTTAGACGCCCAAAAAATCATTGCTTTGTTTTTTAAAAATAGAATTGTTCGACTTGTATTGATTCTTTTTTTATCTATACAAATCTTAACCACAAAAATTGAATTATCTAAAAGGAGGGTAAATAGTAAATAGGAAGAATTTTATGCAGGGGAGCCCATTCAGATCAAACATCAGAATGTATCTATCTGATCTTGTTTTTTGACTTTGCATAAACAGTGTATTGTGTAGTTACAAAATGGTACAGTAAATAATGTTGAACATCTGCATGGTATAATATGTTTACTTCCAGATTTTGTAAAGTTGTAAAGATATGAGTAGTATAGATTGCTGTAGTCCTCCATATCATTTCTATGAGATGAGGTATACACAAGTGCCTGCAATGAGAACTTGAGGCAAAATGCAGTAGTAGTTGTAACTAAAAGCAGGTAAACCTTAGACCTTAAGAGAAGGTGTAAGGCTGAAATTGAGGTTCCAAAGCTCAAAGGATCCATTCACAAAATCATAGTGTCCGCCTTTCAAATGAAGAGTTTTACTTGCCACAGCCTCTCTCACAAAAGGGTATGTCAACAGATTGCCCAATGACACATTCACAGCCTCCTATAAAATGCCCAAAACATAATTTTCAAAACAAAAACTAGTGATTCAAAGAGTTAAATATGGTTGAAGTTCAAGTGAGAAGAATGTCCACTGAACATTCTTTTAATCTAATTTTGTATTATACTTGTCAACTCACTGAAATTTGATCAGAACTCCTAGGCATAACATGAATTGAGGTATCATTGTGATACATTATGGGGTTGATGTACCAAAGTCATAGAAATCAATAGCTAAGGTCCCAATTGAGCATTTTACCTCATGCACATAGACCAATGTTGTCCAAAAACATTATTACCATGTACTATTCCCCTTTGAAGAAGTATTCAATTTCACTGTCTCTTCCTTATTTACAAAATGCATGCTCAAATAAAGTACTCCGGAATTGATTAGAATGAGATGAGCATGGCAAAAATGAGTAAACACAGCCTTCCTTAATTCTTGAATGCCACGGCAGAAACACCAATTAATCATCCAAAGATAAATCATATTATTACCTTCTCCAACATTGTGCATTGGGCATCTAGGTCGAGATCACTGCATTCAGATTTAACTTTGTCCTTTGCAATCAATCCGATTTTGACCCAATCCTCAATAAAATCACTGCACATGCATTCAAACAATGAATGAGTTGTGGAACCAGTGACAATCTCCATTTTGTATTACGAACAGGTACAGCTAGCCGTGGATTAGATGGACTGCCCTACCAATTGGCTGTGTTTTGCCTGCCCAGATTTTGTCACTACCTAGCTAGCTAACACTTCCCATACCATTCAATTATAACGACAAAAAAAGAAAGAAAAACTCATGGAGTGTGTTTTGGTTTTCTATATAATGCATGCAAACCTAACCTCTTAGTGACCCCATCATCAGGAAGAGACATGAGACCTTTTATTCCACCGCAACAGCTGTGTCCGATGACTAAAATATTCTCCACCTTATCGATCACCACATATAATAATTTTGATTACGGATTTTAGTGGATAGAAGATGGAACCAAAAAAAGAGCAAGGGCCATAGAAATTTTCAAAAAAAAAGAACAAAAACGAGGTGATTTATTTAAATTGGTGTCGTATGTTTTTGTTATGAAATCATAGTGACACTTTCCAACATTATTAGTCATTGCTATAAAATATTATACTTAACTGAGTATGACGCTATACTATGGAAGTCTATAACGTACAGTCGGTGGCATTTTGGTAATTTAAATAAAATTTGCATTTTCTGCTAAATGAGCATTAATGCACTTGTAATGAGTATCAGACATATTTTGTTGAGCATTAAAAGACTAACAATGAGCATCGTTATCCCTGTTTCATATCTTCTAATTCACATTCTTTTCTTATTTTTTCTTTTATAAAACTTCATTAAATTATACTCCGTATCTATAATCAGCTCCTACAACTTCAATATGTGAATCTAAATGTAATAATGTACTTATGAAATATGCATTGATATGACATATTAAAAATGAGCATAACAAGAGTACCAATTGAACATATGCAACTTACAAAATGATCATTTCTATGAAAATCACAAGTTATTTTAGTTGAGCATCAAAACATTTTCATTGAGCATCAAACATCTTTTATTGAGTATTGAAAAAATGCAATTGAGTATAATGGTTTGTGCTCCCGTATCTATAATCAATTTCCAAGTGAATCTAATGTAATATAGTACATTTGAAAATATGCATTGATATAACATTTTAAAATGAACATAAACCAATACCAGATGAGCATACGTCTCCTACAAAATGAGCATCGAACAATTCAAAAGCTCGTTTGAATTCTCTAATGTGTTCAAATATTCAATTGTGTATGCTCATTTTTTAAAAACGTTATACTCATTCGAATATAACATAAACTCTTTTCTATAATATGTACACGTAGTAGATTCGTTATTAACAATTGTGTATGCACATTTATTTAAAATTATACTCATTTTAGTATAACACAAAACTCATGTTAGTAATTAACACGCGAAATTTAATAAACTACGGAGTAATAAACATTCATTTTAAAATTTAAAATAGAAAAAATAAACATTAATACTTAAAATATTTTATAATGCACAAATTAAACAAATTAAGTTACAAGATTGATTGTAAAAAAAGCACAACCTCAAACTCAAATATTCATAATAATTGAATAAAAAATAAAGTAAAAGATTGTTAAAGAAAAAATAAAGAAACGAAAAGCAACAATTAAAATAAACAAAAAGAAAGAAGCAAAACAAGAAAAAATGACCTGAATATTACTAATCAGCTTTTCAGTTCCAAAAATATGACTTATTTTTCTTTTTCTCAAAAATATGACTTCTCTTCCTAGTCTCCCGTAACACAACCCAGTCAATCCTTTGTCTATTTTGAATCTTCCTCGCTCCTCTCGTGCGTAGCTCTTCTCCTGCGTATACCATCGTACACCATCGCAACTCCAACCTTTGAATCTCCATCCTCCCTCGACCGCAAGCAGCACCTTCGAATCTTCGATCGATCTGATTTTTTCGCTTTCTTCTCACTTCTTCTTCGTTCACCGCTGATTTCCCTAATCCACCGCTACATCTTCTCCTTCAACAGGGCAACTGAAATCAACCGACAGCGAAGATCGATGGACTACGTCGCTGCTTCAGACTTCCTCGATGGCCGTCGTCGATGTTGGATCCGTCGTCCTCAATAGATCTACGGTTGTACGCCGCTGATGGCGGCGGCTAGGGTTACCGTTTGTGGCGGTGATTGAGGCTAAGGGTGACGAGCGGTGGCGGACGGGCTAGTGGTTGTGTGGGAGTAGTGGTGTGCGACGGTGTGACGACTAGGGGCGGAATGTGGTGTGATGCGGTTGTTCAAGGGCTGGGGGAGGGTGGTTGGGGGCTGGTGGGGGTTGGGGGATGCTGTTATGGGTGGGGGTACTGTGGGGGTGGGGAATGCTGGCTGGTGACGTAGGAGAGGGGCTGGGGTCTGGTGGTCGGAGGTGGTGGTCCTTGGCGGTGGCCGTAGGTGGTGGCGGAGGTGGTGGTCACCGGTGCCGCTAGGCGACTGTCACAACTAAGCCGGCTGGGTGACGCAGGGGAGGGCTGGGTTGGGGTTTGTGTAGGAGAGGGCAGGATTGGCGGCAGGTGACGGTGAGAGGTGGTGGTTTCCGGCGTGGACGGCGGTGATGGAGTTGGGCGGACAGTCAATGTGGTCGGCGGACAGGCAATCATTGTGGTAGGTGGACGAACAGTCACTATGACTGGTGTGCGGGAAGTCACTTTGGCCGGAGTGGGGTCACTTTGGCTGAAGTCACTTTGACCAGAGTCACTTTGGCCGGAGTCACTTTGGCGGCGTCGGCAATGGCGGTGGCGCCAACAGTGGCTGTGGTGCCGGCGGCGGCGCCGGCAGTGCCGGCGGTGCCGGCGGTGCTGCGGTCGGCGGTCATAGGACTACTAATTAAATATATAAAATGTATATTAAATACAAGGAATATGACTTTTAGTCATATTTTTGGAAAAATTTAAAACTGGTCACAATTTTGTCTTTTTCATTCATTTTAGTAATATTGGAATAAAAAGGCCCCAAAAAAACATGTCAAAGCAACAAAAAGAAAAAATGAGAAAAGAAAAAATCTGAAGCAACGAACAAGGCTATTGCGCAAGAGCACTGACGTCGAAAAAACAAGACTCAGTAAGAAGAAGAGAAAAAGGTTAGATAGTGGAAGCATGTTATGTAAATTAGAGACTTGAAGTTCTAATATATTACAAATACCTGGCGGTATCATGCTCAAAGTACAACCGGTTGTAGGATATAATTTACTAGATTAAATAGAACATGTCAAATTAGTTCTAATCAATAAATTTCAATCCAAATGAAATTATCAATTTGTTAGTGGAATTTGCATCTTTTTTGAATTACCAAATAAAAATTGCCCGTAATTTATTAACGAAGTGTAGTAAGAGAAGG